GTGAGAGGGGAGGGGAAACAGGTTCAAAGGTGTGGAGGGAGGGATGGGTAGGGGTCAGGATGTGAGGGGAAGATGGGGAGGGTGTAGTGGTTGGAAGGGCAGAGGCAGCTGAGCGGATCCATTCGATTTTGGTTTTGAGGAAGTCCAGCATCTCCTCGCAGTTGGCATTGGAGTAGAGGATGGACGAGGCATGAGAGGATTGGCAGAGGAGCTGGTTGGTGATAGAGAAGAGGAACCTGGGGTTGTCCTTGGCTTCCAAGATTGGAGTAGAAGGACGATTTAGCGGAGTCAAGGGCGGGGAGGTAAGATATGAAAGGTCCAACCAGATCTGCCTATTGGATTTGAAGCAGGTGCGTTCAGGGGAATGCACCTGAGCCTTAAGATGGGTTGGTTGGCGGTGGGGGGAGAGATTGAGGAGTTCAGAGAATGAGAAAGGAAAAAATGACCCTTTTCATCTCTCTAAAAAGTAATTTCAAAAACAAATAGGCTGTTAATATATCCCAAATGTAACAAACAGCCTTTAATCTATCTCAAAAATGGTATTTGAAAACAAACAGGGCACTTCTTTATTTATACTTGAAATGATTGCTGACTTCATTTAACTTACTAAGTGTTGAGTTAATTATATTCTGATATTCCAGTTGTTGGTTTTTGCTCTGTGATTGATCAGACAACAGACACACTGTCAGCACAGGCACTGAAGGAGACTAACACCAATCCCATAACTTGAAGCATTTTTCTTTTGAAGTAGAATAAGCGATTGCCCAAAAATATGGAATGAAATATCCATATCAGATTAAACAGCTGGCTTGGACTTAGAAAGTCAACATATTGAGGAAGGAAAGTCCCAGCCAACTATCTCTCTTTTTGCCAATTTTTCTCCCCTTTCCTAGCCCCCTCTCCTGAAGGTAATGCCTCAGGTTTGGGTCTTGTTCCCACAGGCATCAACAACCATCAATTATCTCATGAAAATGACAATTCCTCATGCAACTATCCAATCAAACTATTCAACCATATAGGGCCTCACAAACAAGTCCAATCTACTACTCTAAGCTGACATCTGAACATGTGCACTTTCCAGATTTGGGGTGAAAGGGGCCAAAGGAATGGCTGTTTTTGCATTCCCAAAGCACAGCGGCATGAAGGCTCAGAACCCTATGCTTCAGCTAAGCTACTGACTCAGCACAAACCAAGCATTGAACTTGTGACCTTCTTGTCTGTAAGGTTTAATGTTACACCAGCTGCTACAACAAGTGGTTCTTTATCCAATCAACCATTGCTGGAGGTCACCGTCCAAGTGTCCCGAGAAGAGGGGAGATAAATTTTAACTTTCCACAAGCGGAAAAACACATTGGGATGGGTTTATCACACACAGACACACATGCAGACACACTGTATGAACCACTTCTGTCTGTTCTGTGTGTGGCCCATTTCACGGTAATGAACACACTGATTTCTTTGTTTCAAGTCCACTGCCACAGCTCAAAGCTACCTCATTGCTTTGTGATCTGACTGTTTGCAGCCAATGATCTGTCTTTTGTTCTCTGATTAACAATACACTCAGGTACAATGCTTCAAGAGACAGTAGTTAATATGAATCTTATGATATAGATCCTACAGCATTGACGGGGTTGTCAAAAGTTGAAGGTCAATATGCCGGTGCTATTTTTTCACTCATCCACTGCCTGTCCTTCACCTTCATGCTTCAGAAGATCTCAGAAAGTGGGAGGAATAGGAGAAGGTGTACTCATTTTGCTCGCCAATCAAAGTCAATTGGCGTATCGTTTTTCCAATGTGCTCTGTGCTATGCAAAAACAGCCATATATTTGGTCCCTTTCACCTCAAATCTGGACAGTACACATGTGCAGATGTCATCTTAGATTAGTATTGGACTTGTTTGTGAGGCCCTCCATGGTTAAATAGTTTGATTGGATAGTGGCTTGAGGAATTGTCATTTTTGTGAGATAATTTATGGTTGCTGGTGCCTGGGGGACAAGACCCAAACCTGAGGCATTAACTTCAGGAGAGTAGGTTAATAAGGCAATTTATCAAATGCAACGAATATTATTCTTAAATATCATCCTATAGACCAGAGATCGCCAATTTGTGGCCCATAGGATGCATTACACATATGCAAGTTGGCCATCCCTGCCATAGACATGGAACCATCAGATATGTGAGCCTGGCTCAGTTCGTAGCATTCTCGCCACTGAGTCAGTAGGATGTGGGTTCACACCTCACCGCAGGACTTAAACTCATGTAGTCTAAACTGACACTCCAATGCGGTGCTGGGGTGGTGTAGCCTTGTCAGAGATGGTATCCTTTTGATGAGACGTGAAACCGAGGTCCCATCTACACGTTCAGGTGGATTTTAAAGTAGCACTACTCAAAAAGAGAAAGAAATTTCTTCTGGAGTCCTGGCCGATAATCTCCCCATCCAAACCCCCCAAAAAATCAGTTACTTTGTTTGTTTACTTGTTTCCCCATTTGTGGGACATTGCTGTGTGCAATCTGGCTGCTACATTCGCCTAGAAATACACAGTCACTAAACTTCACAGTAAATCCGTGAAGCACTTTGGGAAGTCCTCCCGACCTGAAAGGAGCTGAGCCAAACACAAGGATTTAGATCCCGGATTTAAAAAGGAAGAAGCATTGGCTATAAAGGCTGTGTGTCTGCAGACAGCACAACAGCTCAATGTCATTATATGTTAAATAACTGGGTGGGGGATGAAGGAAGAAAAACCGTGAACACTGAACTAACATCTCATGTAGTATCTGTGTGGCCATTGTGGTTTACCACTCTATCCAGTGGTGAGTTCAGTATTTCTTGCAGCTGTTGTGCCCATCTGTGCCCATCTGCCATAGCTTACTATCCTAGCTCACACATAATACACTTGTGTGTGTCTGCTTGGCTCAGTTGGTGACATTCCTGACTTTGAGGCAGAAGGTTGTGGGTTGAAGCCCCACATTGAGATTTCAAACTCACATATTCTAGGTTGACACTCCAATGCAGTGCTGGAGAAGTGCTGCATTGTTGGAGATGCCGTACTTTGGATGAGGCATTAAACTGCCGCCTATTCATTTAGACGTTAAAGATCCCATGGCATTATTTGCAAAGAAAGCAGGGAGTTTCTCCTAGTGACAAACCGTCAAATAAAACTGGCCACAGTAATTGGTGGGACAGAGCTCCGGAAGCAGATTGTGATGGAGCAGAGTCCCTGGGGGTCAGTTTGCTGTACTTTCGGAGACACAGAGATGCAGCTTGCAGAATGAGCCAACTCTTTCAGGAAAGGAAGGTAGATGGATGATTTCCACTTAACTGCCTCACCCAGAGTGTGGCGAATACATGGAACAGGTTGTCCCTGGGAGGCTACGAAGGCAGGTGGTGGAGAAGGAATTTGAAGTGGGCAATAAGACGTCTGAGAGGGATTTAGGGTGGAAGCCATGTGAGATTGTGAGCAGTGGTATTTAGTAGATGGGACCGATCCAATATAATAAAATGATCTTTCCTGGTCCTGTACTTTCCTACGTTTGCAAGGAAGGAAATGTACGATGCAGGAAAATCAATGTATTATAAAAACAAACAAGTTGTAAGCACACCAGCAAAACATCATGCATCAGTGTTCAATCTCTAACAGTGGGAGATCCACGTCTGGAGAGAGTAAGTGATGTTGAAGGATCAGAGCCCGTCAGTGCCTTCACAAGAAGCATTTTGGTCCCATTCAAGTCATTGAATCTCGACACCCACCATGCAACTTTCAAGTTGCAATAAGCGATTTACATATCTATCATCGAGACATTCCTGCATGTCAATAAGCAGCAACAGTCCCACCATTTTTGAATTTCTTATCTCCCCTCCCACTTTTGGCAACTGTTGGCCGAAGATATTTTTGTTGCTATTTTGCTTTTTATTCCAGGCTGTTTTGTTGCACCTCAGTTTACAGATTGGGTGAAGTAAAGGAACCGTGCGTGCTGAGCTGCTTCAGAAATTCCAGCAGAGCAGCCCAGCAGTCCGAACATGGGAATTCTCCGGGGAGAAATCTTTCCCTTGTTAAGCACAAACATCAAAGCTGTCCATCTGCTGCAAGACTCAGATTTTAATCACACCGCTTAGTTTTCAGTTAGCCATCAGAATCTGTTCTCAACTCCCTGTCTCAGTCCCTCTGTCTTGCCCACCTTCAAATCACACCTGAAGACTTTCCTCCTCGACCATGTCTTCAGTCACCTCCGTTCTCTTTCCAGTTCGGTGTCAAACCACATTGCTGTTAAGTGGTCTGAGATGCTACTCACGTGGAGGGCACCATATAAATACAAGTTGTTAACTAAAACTTTTTAAGTAGTTAGACTGCCTCAAAACTAAGATTAAAGAGTACCATTTCTCATTTAGGCATGTTCCTTGCAGACCTGCACTGCAGTAAGATCTGGAGAGCTACGATACAACAAACATTGCCAGCACTGAAGCTAGAAGGCATTATAGGACTGTGATGAGCTGATGCTTAAATATCCATTGAAGAAATGTGGAAACAGCACCTTTATCTCAAACAATGTAGAGTATCTCTTTTTGTTCTTTGCCAAAAAAGCCTGATCTGATGTTCCAGGTCAGCCATGGTGCAAAGGATACCTCTCAGTGTCACATCATTAAACACGATGACAACAACAAGTTATAAAGCGCCCCTCACGTAAGGTAGAGTCCCAGAGCGCTTGACAGTGGCGGAACACACCGCTGAGCCGGGGGGAAGGGGAAGTGATCGTAAGCACGATCGAAGAGGAAGGTCTTCAGGCGCGACCTGAATAAGGGGAAGGAAGGAGCAAGACGGAGAGATAGATGAAAAGTGTTTCTGAGTTTGAATATCAATAAACACAGAAGCCAAAATAAAACACATGAAAAAGCAACTTAACTCACTTTAGTGTTTGTTGCTGGAAGAGCGTTAGAAACTGTCAAGCTTGCCCAGTCTTGTTTTAAGTAGTAAGTGCAGCTTTTTGGCTTCAATTTCACATACCTTTATGCTCAAACGGCTATCAGCTCTCGTCTTTGGGGCAGCAGGTCTGTGAGTCATGTTAAACAGATTCAGCACCTAAAGCCACACAATACCATAAAATCCACTCTCTGGCACTTCATGCTCTGTTCTTGAGTCCTTTTCATTTGCAGTGGCAAAAGATCTCTCACATTTTGCAGTGGGACTTCGTTCACATTTAACCCATAAGAATCTACACTCTAGGCACTGGGTATAATATATGTAAAAAGTTATTCTGCAGAGCTCAGTATTGGAGACACACTGCAGGCTTGAACAGTTGAGTCAACCCCCAGAGTCCAGGCTTCTCCCCTGCTGCTTTATTATGCATACTGATGCAACTTCCTCCTCCTATTCTCAAAGTTTAAACATACACACAATTCAATGTAGCCCAGCCCAGCAGGGAGTCAGAGCTCATCCCTCATCACTCTTCTACACAAAGGCACTGTCGCCACTTTCAGCTCAGAAGGTCATGATTCCAGGGGAAACCCTGGCTCCATTTCACGTTATGATTTTTTTAAAAAAGCAGAATGATACATGTCGAAGTGTGCTGAATCAATCTTTACTTTCCTGTCAGACCTGTTCTGATGAATTGAGGAAGGACCGCAGAGTACAGCATAGCACTGCATGGTATGCACAGCAATGTAGCACTGCACTTTTAATGTGCGTCAGAAACATTTTGAAGCCCTGTCACAAAAGTGTGTGCCACTGCCAGAATTTCATGTGAACCTGAACAAACAGAAGATACTGTAATGCCCAGCTCTGTATACGAGTTACAAAGGTTTTATATACCATGAAGGAAAAAACTATAAATCTTCATTATTTTGTTTTAGTTGTAGAAGACTGAGTGATAGCACAAGGACAAACCGCAGTGCAAGTCTCCAGCGAAACTGAAATAACAGGAGAGAGGACGAACATTGTGCAATTGGCTTCTGCGTTTCGCCCACAGTCAATTCACTTTACAATACATCTGTGAAGCGCTTTGAGACGCGTCAACGATGTGATAAGACGCTATATCAAATGCAAGGATTACGACTATTAAATTGAATCAATGGCTAAGTGACTCCAAGCTTGGGTTTCAATACCATCTAATACAATGCGGGTCTGGGATAGTGCTGTTTTGTTGGATATCCCAACCTTTGGATAAAACTTAAAACATGATCCCCTCTGCCTGTTCAGTGGGATATCAAAGATCTCATGACACTAGTCAAAAAGAGAAGGCAATCACTCCCAGTGTCCAAGCCACCAATCCCCCAAATTTACTTCACAGCTGTTTGTGGGATAATACTATGCGCAAATTGGCTGTTGTGTTTGCCTACAAAACGCACAGTCACTAACAATTTACAATAAATCCTGCGAAGCGCTTTGAGACCTCCCTACATGAAAGGCATTAAATCAAATGATACTTTCTAGAAGAGTTTTGAAAGTGGAGAGGATGAGTGCAAGATGGAGAAGGGATTCAATCAAAGCGTTCCAGAGAACGGAACCTGGTGGCCTAAAGTACATCCATCCATGGGAATGAGGGTTGTGGGCACGTGAACCAGCCAGAGTTGGCAGTGTGGAAGGAGTCAGTGGGAGATTGCAACAATACGGTTGGAGGCATTTGAACGGAAGAACGAGGATTTTAATGTCAATCTGCTGGGAGATGGGAAGCCATTGGAGAGGAGTGAAGATGACTGTGATAGACTTGCAAAGCCTGGTACGTGAAAGGGTAAGAGCTGCAGAGTTTTGGATGGCATGTATGGCCCACTTTGATCTGCTCCACCATTAATGGGCAAGCCTTCAGCCATTCTGCCCCTGTTCTCTGGAATTCCATTCAGGAGTCCCACTGTCTCACTCCCTCTGCCTTTAAAACACACCTTAGGACCTATCTTGTTGATCCTTCTTTTAGTAATTTTAACCATCTATGGGTTAAGTGGTGCTGCTCCTTAAAGAACTCGTATATCTTCACTTCCGCAGTCAAACGTCACAATTTAAATGTAGCGTACGTGTGTGCTCAGATCAGTGTACTTGACTTGTACTGCCATACAAGCCCAGTAGACAACTTCAAGCACTGAAACAACCAAACACTTGAGTTCTCCATTCGTTTCATGACTGAATCTATCTCACAATATCAAGCATTCTGTTGCCCTGCCTCTCAGATCAGTCGGGACTGTGATTGTTGCTGCTTTGATCAGGAGACTAAACAATGATGAAGCATGGAAAGAAGCCAGTAGGAATTAACCTGAAGGCCAACATTTTCCACACATTAAATCTTTATCTGAATGAAAGTATTCAATTCACTGGATACTCTTTGTAAAACGGTTTATTATTCATTTTCCAAACACAGTCCAAAACCAAGAACAAAACAACAATGCCCAAAGTTTAATTAAGCTGATATTCCCCGAACCAGCACGGAACTGGGTGGGATCCCCACAGCAGCAGGGTCAAAGGTGCCATCCAACAGCTCAATAGCTGCAGCAAGCAGCAAAGGGCACAGACTGCACTGGGAGCAGCAATTTTCCCACTCAGTTCCCGTTAACCCGACAAGCCATAATGAGCAGTGGTACTCGCTGGATAAGTTGTGTGAAGTTTACCAGGCAGTGTTCAAAATAGTAAGCTGGTTCGCCTCCAGTCTGTTTTAGCTGGTTAAACTCCAGAAGTAATAATAATAATCCTTGGATTTGACATAGCGCCTTATCACATCGTTGAAACATCTCAATGCGTTTCACAGAATATACTGTAAAGTGAAATAGCTGTCTATTTTGTGGGCGAAATGCATCAGCGTGTCGTAGATTGAGTGACCGTGTAATTATTATTTTTTTCAAGGGATTATTACCCCCAGAAAGCGATCCGACAATCAACTAACAACTAGGTTCCTACATACTGCTAGGTAAACAGAGGTGTGTGGAGTAAGGAGCTTGCCTTAGGTTTTTCCCCGTCCGGAATTCCAACGCACTCTCTGGGGGCCCCAAGCCTTGGCCTTGACGTCTTGCTAAATTACCTAACACTGATTAGGTGAATAGGGTACCTCCTTCCTGGGAGAGAGTGCATTCCAGACAAACAGAAATTTCCAGGCTGGTGTGGAACGATTAGTTTAGTTTGGTTTCCGTATGTCAGTCACTTGACTGAGCTGAACAAAAGGAAATGAAATTGAGGAGATATTTGCCAGATCACCTCTGTCAGTCATTGCCCAGGACATCGACAGGAGTAGATTGTCCTATGATGTGATGATTATCACCAGTGCTAACTATCACGTCTCGCATTGTATTTTTTGACATTTTATTCTCTGAATTTGCTTTCTGCCTCTTATGAAAACGCTGACTCAATGCTGGATTACTGTTCCATGAGCAGAGTACCCTCTCCAGTTTCTCATTCTGCACAGGTACATTGTACATCATATTTTTTTATTCAGCGAGTTGTTACGATCTGGAATGCACTAACCGAAAGGGTGGTGGAAGCAGGTTCAATAATAACTTTCAAAAGGGAATTGGATATATACTTGAAAAGGAAAACATTTGCAAGACTATGGGGAAAGAAAGGGGAGTGGGACTAATTGGGTAGCTTTCAAAGAGCTGGCACAGGCACGATGGGCTGAATGGCTTCCTTGTGTGCTGTAAGATTCTAGGACTCTATGTGATTCCAGACAACACATCTTATCTGACTGTTCAACTATAGGCCTCAGATGAGCCGAGCTGAGCCCAATCCTGCCCACAGCTGAGCCCAAATTCCACCCTGTCTTAGCCTGTTACCTCATTTGTGATCTTAAAATGGAAGATTGTGCAGGACTAAGGAAAATACAATTTTTTCTTGATTTAAAAATTAGAACTGGCTACTACATTAATACTGAATTTGCAATACCACGATTCTTAACATCCTAAATTTTAAATGGTCTGACAGAGTAAGACTAGATGGAATTTCAGGCCTCTGATATTCATTCCCACGCACTTTCAATAGAGGTTACTCATGCTGATTAGCAATGGAAAATCTGATTTTGACCACTTCCCTAGCCCAGGGGCACTGAAGCCAATTGTAACAACAACCACAACAATATAGCGTATAGCACCTTTCATGTTGGGAGGACGTCCCAAGGCGCTGAATTTTAACACCTCTTACTTGAGATCAGTCAACTTAGCACAGCCCAGAGATCAAAGCTGGGCCCATCTGGCTTCATATGGCTCAGTTTCATACACGGTCCAAGTGAGCCAGTGTGGGATGTCCACACTTCTCTTTTTGTTTAAAGCGAGGCAAGAATCATTTGGTAAATCAATCATGGTGACATCACACAGAAGTGATGCTATGGTGCTTTGACACATCATACATCATTGTTTGCCTGTTTGTAAAGAAACCAAGTGGGTTTGCAAACTATTTTTTTTCCTTAAGGCAATGCCCCTTTAATAGAAATTACAGCATCATTTGAGGGAAAAACAATGTCTCTTTAATAAAAAAGGCAATTGCCTCCATAATGGAAACAATAATGCCCCAAATGAAAAATCCACTACTTCTCCTGTAACATATTGACAGTGTGTTGTTATTGAGTTATTCCAATCCACTCCAAACATAAAATGTTTGTTTTAATCACAAACATAGCAAAAGCTTATTTTGCTTGCGATATGTTTGCAAAGCACAGTGGCTCAAACTCCTCCACTCAGATTCTATCACCAAACAGAAGCCTACAGCTCATATCAGGCTGTTTGTGAACACATTATGCCCTTCCCAGATCAAGTTGGAAGCAGTAATCTTTTGTTTCCCACACAATATGGAAACATCACTCTCTTTGCACAGAAAAACAGCATCAAGGTTAAATTACACAGACGATGTGTGTTCTGTACAAGTATTAGGATAGCACACACTAGACAGTAAAGCCAGCACAACTGAAGGACTCTGACAATTGTCTCTCAGAGGGCAGATCACTTCTGCACATCACCATAACTCAGCCTCTAATGTGCAGTAAAACCTTTCTGAATGAAGGGAGTTGGAGCCTCATTGATGTTCATTCACTTAAATTCACTAAGCAGTAATATTCAGCACACTTCTAAACACTTTTATTTTGAACATTGTCCCTCGAACAAGGCGAGGGAATATAGAGCAAAAAGTGCTATAGAAGGGGAGGAGGTATGGATTAGGTATGGATGCAGCTGACCTGGATTCAGGAAGACATGCCTGCAAAAGCCAGCCAAGTCTGAAATAATCACAGATATAATGTTGATGACTGACCAGATCAAACTCTGCAGCCAGGATCCTCTCCCTTACCTTCCATGTCGATGACACCCAAATCTACCTCTCTGCCTCCACCCCCGACTCCAGGACCGCTGCTGTCCTGACAGAAT